ATCATATCCTCGGAAATTGTGTGCTATGACGTATAGCTGTGCTTTAATTTTTGAAGCTCTGATAGCGACATCTTTGAACAAATAGTCTGAAAACTGTTCAACTACATTATCTTTATAAAATGTACGGATACCATATCCGCACACTTTACACCCATCATTTGGTTCATCGATAGAGACATCGCATCTTTTCGCCATTTGTTGGTAATCCCAACACTTGTCGCAAACACATACTTTGTAATAAAAAAGTAATTTATATATATTATTAATTTTAATATAAATATAATATGTAATAATAACTTACATGAAATAAGAAGATTAGGTTTGTGATCATAAAAACCGTTATTTTGGGCTATTTGTTCACTTTCAATGTCAAAACAAACTATTAGTTTGTTTTCTTTGTCCTCTTTTTCCAACTTTTTTACATTCAAAGGTTTTATATAACATAAATGAGGTGTTTCAGTATAATAAACTTTACATTTATTACATTTGAGGTGATAGCAAACATGTTTTGCTCTTCTATCAGTCGAGTATTCAACATTACAATTAGCGCATGTTTTAGACTTAACTTTGCAGATATTGTTATTTTTATGATTTTGATAACATATATCATTTGCATAACTGCGATTGCATAAATCGCAATCTACTTTATCACCTCCGTTGTCACATTTGGGATAAGTAGAACAGTAGTTACACACATACTTACATGTGTGATTAATTTTTTGATGTTTTGTTAAACAATATTTACACAAATCAGATATCTGTGTGTATGCATTGATGTCTTTAATAAAATTATAATGTCCAGTGTTTTTACTGTAGTCGATGTGTTCAATGAATAATTTGTTGGGAAAGTCTGTAGAGCCTTGAAATAAATAGTTGTCAACATTTGATGAATCAATAATTATTAACTGTAATCCTTGAGAACCGTCAGTCAATGCAATAGTGTTAAGATACTCTTGCATTTGAGCCCAATGTTTTTCTCCGAAAGGTTTGTTGAAATCAAGACCGGCCAAATTACACAGCTTTTCAGATTCTTCTTTTTGATATTTGTCTGAATATTTGTTTGCAGTTATTTTTTGCCATTTTCTATTTCCATGAAGTTTTTGATTAGAATAGCTTTCGAGAAACCACATAACTCCAACCCAAACAGCTCTATAACCGCAACCGACATCTGAAATTATATTAATAGAAATATTTGTAAATATAAATTAAAAATTAATGAATAATCTTTTAAATACCATTTTTGTTATCAATCCTAACAATGCATTTTATACGTTTACTTCTTTCACTTGATGTTTCCGGTGGTAGTTGTCTTTTGTTTTTCATATTAGGTCCAGATCCTTCTAGCGATTCAGTTACATAAACTTTCATTTTAAATACGGAGAGCAAAAACTCTGTATTTGATTGAATTAATCCAAATATTCTGTTTGCAAACTCATTTTTATCAAACTGTGAGATTGCTTTACCACCCATATATAGTGGTTTATTCAAACCCTGTGCTTCAATTACCACACTATAATAATCATTTGGTGAATGATTACGGAACGCCGGTCGTACCAACGACTCATACATCTCATTTATTTGGTCATTTAATTGAAGCAAATTATCTATTGAACCCAAATTATGTTGAAATCGGATGTCTTTACGGTGCTCTTGTCTCTTAAGTTTAATGTATGAATGGGTAGACTCATTCAATACATGAAACTTGACTAATTGTTTAACTAAACAAAAAATTTAATTATAATAATTGCATAATAAGTTATATAATTTTTAATACATACCTGTATTGTCATTGTTGTCATTGTTGTCATTGTTGTCATTGTTGTCATTGTTGTCATTGTTGTCATTGTTGTCATTGTTGTCATTGTTGTCATTGTTGTCATTGTTGTCATTGTTGTCATTGTTGTCATTGTTGTCATTGTTATCATTGTTGTCATTGTTATTGATTGCTATGTAATCGGGTGGTGTATCCACGAGTGAGTCCTGACTTTGATTATATGACTCATCAGCACCAGCACCCTCTTGTACTGGTAAACCATAATTATTGTTGACCAATAAATTAAGGTTCACGTAGAAGTCGTCAGTGAAATCATCGCTAAACATGTCGTCCATTACATCAGGTATTTCGTCATCCAATTGTTCTCTAGGGTCAGGTATTGCGTCGTCCATAGGGACATCCGACTCGACCGTTGACTCTGGGATATGCGCGTTGTCCATTGCGTTGAATTGATCGATAAAAATAATAGTTGAAATACTGTAAAGTATACTTTTATAAAATTTGTTAAAATATTAGATTTTATAGAATAATTTATTATTTTATAATTAATTAATAAAAATAATTTTTATTTTTATTAAGTAATTATTTTTTAATTTTTCTTAATATTTTTCTATTTATTTTCTGAATTCTGAGTTTTTTAAAATTATTTTTTTAAATATTTTAAAAATAATTTTTTTTGAAGTTTTTTTTGAAAAGTTTTTTTTTGAAGTTTTTTTTGAAAAGTTTTTTTTTTCAAAAGTTTTTTTTGAAAAGTTTTTTTTTGAAGTTTTTTTTTGAAGTTTTTTTTGAAAAGTTTTTTTGAAATTTTTTTTTGAAAAGTTTTTTTTTTTTTTTTGAAAATTTTTTTTTTTTAAAATTTTTTTTTTGAAAATTTTTTTTTGAAAAGTTTTTTTTTGAAAGTTTTTTTTTGAAAATTTTTTTTTGAAAATTTTTTTTTTTTTTTTTTTTTTTTTTTTTTTTTTGAAAAGTTTTTTTTTGAAAGTTTTTTTTGTGCTTACTTTATTTTTTTTTATAAATAATCACAAATTATAAATTCAAGACTCAGTTATACACTGATATCTTCCACTGGCGAGTTAATTTGATGTATGTTTGAATACAATGCTAGCCTCAATCCAATGTATTCCGTACTACAGTCTATAAGACACTAATTTGTTAATTTGACCGCTTAATAGTTAATTTTTCATAATTATTTTTTTATTAGTTTAAACATCATATTTTTAAGCATCTTTTAAGAATAAAAAATTTTAATTTTAATTACAATTAAAAAAGTTATTAACAATTTAAGTTAATTAATATATACAGTATATGTAATATTATTGCAATACAGTATGTACATATTATTTCAATACAGTGATGTCATTATATTACATGTATTGTATGCAATAATTAATGTTAGTTCGGGTAGTTGGTCAGTTCGGGTAGTTGATCAGTTCGGTTAGTTGGTTAGTTCGGTAAGTTGGTCAGTTCGGTAAGTTAACCAGTTCGGGTAGGTGGCCAGTTCAGGTATGTGGTCACTTCGGGTGGTTGGTCAGTTTGGGTATTTGGTCAGTACGGGTGGTTGGTCAGTTCGGGTATTTGGTCAGTTCGGGTGGTTGGTCAGTTCGGGTAGTTGGTCATCAGTACGGGTAGTTGGTCAGGTTAGGTTCGGGTAAGGTTCAGGTAGAGGTAGTGGTGACGTCATTGGTGTAGTACACTTAGGTTAGGTTAGGTGGAGTCACGTGATCTCCGTCACCTATTCTCCGTCATACTGTTATATGGGGGAAAGCACTGTGCTTTCCCCTTCCGTCACCCTTATGTCGTAACTACTTATATATATATATATAGTTACTGTATATACAAATAAAAAAGACATTGATATTAATAGCCATTGTTTGGTTTGACTGAAAAGTTTTGGGATATAAAAAAAGTTTTTTTGTTATTGTATTGAGTTATATATATATATATATTAGCAGATAAAATGTAAATTAAATATACAATATTATAGAAAACATATACAATAAATATATATTTATATATATAATAGTAATTTATTAATGTTGTTTTATTAGTTAAACACTAAATAAATATATATTTTAAGTATTATTTTATGTTTTTATAATTATTTGAGCTTGTTAATATATATTGATATATATATAGATTAATGGGATAAATTATTGAGCTAGTACAGATATATAGATAATAATTATTATATAATATATTTTTTAAATGCACGATAAATCTAATAATTACACAAATTTTAATAAAAATTTATTTATTACAAATAATTATATTTATTTACTGTATATACTGTATATATTTATGTACTGTATATTTATTTTATTATTAATGGTAATATTAATGTTTTAATTTATATTTATAAATCAAATACAGTATTTATTTAAACTGTATATTTGATTAACTAACTTATACTAAGCTTATAAAATTTATTAACATATAGATTAATAAATTATTTAACTATTTATTATAAAATTAATATATATTTATATATATTTATTTTTTTTTGAATAAATAATATATTTATGATAATTTATAAATTACAATTATAATTATTAAATAATATTTGATAAAGTTTAGCCACATATAAATGTAATAATAAAATGTATAAATTTTTTGTTGTGTACTGTTTTTGATTATAGTGACGATAATGATAAAATTATATTAATATATAATATTAACTATTAATTTGTATGTAATTTAATTATATTTAGCATTTAAACTTAATAGATTACTTGCTTTATTATTTGCAACATAATATATAATAAATATAAAATTAATCTATAGCCTGATTATGGTTATTATTATTATTATTATTATGTTCATAAACATTTCTACTGTATAATTAACTATTATAAAAATATAATAAATAAATTATTACTATGGGTTAGAGTAATCGGATTAAAATTCAATGTCATATTATATATAAATTTTATGTGTGTGTGTGTGTAAGTTATTTATGTATAATAATTAGTATATTGAAGTCAATAGTTGTTCATCATTAGTGATAAAACAAACAAATAAAATCTATAATATTTAATTGAAAACAGGGATTCAGATTATTGTATTGTATAAAATATTTTGGTTGTTGTCTATTGGGAAACAAATAAATAGCGTAGGTGTGTATCCTATATATATATGTGTGTGTATTATATTTCATCTATTAATTATTAGCCACATATATAATATATATATATATATAATATACTATATATATCCTATAAATACATACCCCAACCAAGTGATGAAGTTTTCCAACTCCTTTGGCAGATAACATGACCCACAAAAAGGCATTATCACATACATGAGGAAAAATGGTAACCTATTTGATGGACGGGTATATATATATATAACAAACAAAAAATACAAAAATAATTATAGATACAAGTATTGATTAATATACAGATATATTTATAAGATATATTGGACATAGTTTTTTTAGGCATATTTTTATTAATAATGTTATTATTATAAATTAATTAAAATAAATTTTGGTTATTAATATTTTTTTGCATTTTTTTGAATAGTTGTTTTAACTGCATTGATATTTAACCAAAAAATAGACTAAAAAATAAAATAAAACTGTTTTTGATTTTTTTTTGTGGTTTGTTTTTCTATCTTTTAATAAAACATCAAAAACTTTATATACGAATAATAATAACTAATTAAAACTTTGAATTTGTTATATTTATGTATACATATATACAGTACTTTATATTATAATATATTTGGATTTAATAATATTCAAAAACATAACTATTTATATACAATATTTTGTGTATAACTTTAGGCATTTTGGTATTTGGTTTGTGTCAATCATTAAAAATGTTTTGACAACACATTTGACAAGTTTTGTAACCCATTATAATAATTATAATTTATTGAATGTGAACTATTTTATGTATATACAGTATATACTATTTGATATATATATACATTTATATATATGCTTGTAATTAAAGTGTAGTACACTATGTTATATTAAATATTTTATATTAATATACTGTATATATATATATATATAATATTATAAGACATGTGTCTTTCACAGAGACCTAACTTATTTTAATTAAGTTATTTTGCTTTTAAGTATTATTATATAATATATTATATTACTGTATATGCATATAATTGACTATAACTTTTTGAATGTCACTCATAATAATAATCCGAAGAAATTGTTTATTATATATGAAAAATTTGTTTTAAAATAAATGGTTTTGTCGTTAAGTAATTAAATTAAAAAAAAAGTTTTTTATTTTTTAAAAAAATATATAATTAGATATTGAATTTATTATTATTATAACTACACATTGAAATATCATATTCATTGAAACTATCGTAACTATCGTATGAATTATTTTTATTTTTATGGATATAATACACTAATTATTAAATAGTTAACAAAAAAAATAACTAATTGCTAATTATTATTATAAAATTATCATCTAATTTGGGTTTTTTAGGGGAGAGATATAGAGAGTGCGTGGGGGGTTAGGTTTGATGTGCACCTGGTGTGGGGGTTAGGTTTGATGGGCATCTAGTGTGGGGGTGGGGGAGGGGTACTCACCAACAGGCGACAAACACCCCCATAACGATACCCAATATTCTTGTAGCTCTCCTTTCCCTCGACAGCGAAATCTTTTGTTTTTCCTCCCAAAACCTCTTAACCGATATGACAGCCGTCGACGACTGGTTGTCGCTGTTGTTGCTGTCCATTGGCCGCCGTTTGGAGGCTTGAATGGCAAAACAATTGAGTAGTTTATTAGTGACTACTAATTCACTGCTAATAGACTGGGCTTTGGGTCGGTAGTGGTGTTGGTGATGGTGTTGGTGGTGGTTGTGGTGTGGATCCGGACTTTCTGAGGACAAACCTGTGCTAATGTTGTCGCTGCTGGCAATGGTTACTGTCGTGCAGACCATTACTTTTTTTGTCGTCGGCGTCGTCAGCGCCGTCGGTTGTTGCTGTTGTTGCTGTCCATCACCGACACCACCAACACTCTGGCCAATAGACAGGCCATCGCCACTGGTACAGGTAGTAGTGGTAGTCGTATTATATTGCGATACAAATTCATCGCCAGTGGGTATAATTATCTGTTGCTGGTGTTGCCGTTGATGGTTATTATCATCAGCATCACTATTATCACTATCATTATCATCGTCGTCATCATCATCGCTGTGCTTCTTGAGCTCCCTGTGCTCATCACTAGACTTAGACAACAACAACGGCCTGTCCTTTAAGTCTTGCTTAAGACTGGGCCGCCTGTTGTTGTTAGTCAGCGGCTGCTGTGGTGGTAAACCTTTATCACCGCCGCCGCCACCACCGCCGTTGTTGTCCTTATTATTAATATTGTTGACCACTTTTTCGGTTTTTTCATCGCTGGCCGATTCGATATCAATCCGATGCGATTCGGAAACACAATTATTGGTCTTCGAGTTGGCCGACATTAGGTTGGCCATTGCCGACGCTTTAGCCCTGTCCCTTAAGCGTCGTCGGGTGGCCTTAAATATTTTGATATAGACGACAGTCATAATGACCAGTGGTATGAAAAAACTACCGCTCGCCGAATAGACAACATACGACCGCTCTTCGGACAGTTTGCACGGCGTGTTGTCGTCGAAAACCGATGGCCAGTCATTCCAGCCGATTAGCGGCGGTATAGATATTAGGGCACTGATAGCCCATATCAAGGCTATAGTGGTCACTACTCGACGCATTGTACGTTTTTGAGCATAATTTATCGGGTCGTGTATTGCCCAATAGCGGTCCTAATTTTGTTGGTGGTAGGGGTGGGGGTGGGAATTGATTTTGATTAATATTTTTGATAATAAAGTATTTAAATTTACACACTCACACATACACTCACACACACACACACAATCATACATACATACATATACACACACACACACACACACTCTCTCTCTCTCTCTCTCTCTCTCTCTCTCTCACACACACACACACATACATACTCTCTCTCTCTCTCTCTCTCTCTCTCTCTCTCTCTCTCTCTCACACACACTCTCTCTCTCTCTCTCTCTCTCTCTCTCTCACACACACTCTCTCTCTCTCTCTCTCTCTCTCTCTCTCTCTCTCTTACACACACACACACACTCACACACACACATACATACAGTATGTATAGCTATTAATCTCTATATTAATTGGCGCACAAACTACTGGGCTATAGTGTTTGCCATATTATTGTCTAATATTATATATATATATATTATAAAGACATTTAAAATCTATTATAATGTGAAGAATATTATGAAACTTTTTTGAAAATTAATTACAAAACAAACAATCAAAAATAAAAGTTTATTAACCTTCAAATTCATATAACAATACCATTGATTAATAATTATATGCAAAATAATTTTCATGCATTTATTATACTTATATATCATTATATATATATATAATATCTATTCAATATATTGAAAAGTAAATTATATTTTAATATTTATATAATAAAACTAATATTGAAAATATTCATTGATAATATATATGAAAAATTTTCTTAATGTAAATATTTATTTAACATATAGTTGGATGAAATATAATAGTTGATTGCATAATAATATACGGTATAATTGAATGAATATGGAAAAAAAAGTTATATATCTATTAATTTCAATTATTAGTCTATGAATATATTATGCCGGTATAAAATATACAGTTTATATCAGTTATAATATTTAAAAAAATTATATTAAATACTATATAACATAATAATATATAATATTATAGCCAATTCACTATTTCTAAACAATATATTGAATATTATAATAATTGTCTGGAGAATAGTATTTCACATAAATTGAATGCCAATTATTATTAAAATTTATTATGAAATAAATGAATTTTTATATTATGCTATTATTTTATCTGATATCTATGTAAGTAATATATAATATAACATAAAATTAAAGTCTAATATAATAATAAAAAACCTAAAAAATTAATATAATATTGATATTAGGGACTGCTTTTGTGTTATACGACAATTGTAATATTTATTTTTTAAATAAATAATCAGTTAGTAGATACACGTATAAACTACTTATACATAACTTTGAATTATAAATTATATTACAGTATATTGTATTTAAAATAAATTTAATGATTCAATTGAAACAAAATTATTATTTATTTTAGGCAATTATTAAATATTTTAGTTTTTTTTGTTTGTTTAATCTATTTTATAAACTGTATTAATATAATTAATATAATTTAGTTATATGTATTATGATACTGTATTATCAATAATATAACTTATATAATATATCCTATATTATATAAGTCTACATATGATCTCTCTTTCTGTCTCTCTTTCTCTCTCCTATTATACATCAAAAAGTGTGTGTGTATTATCTAGTATTTGAATTTATGAATCATTGTATCCGGGTGAATTATATTAAAATTAATTTATAAATTTCAAGGCTCCCAGAATTTTTATAAAGTATTAGTCAATATACCTGTATATATATATATATATATATATATAATATAGTATAATATAACTGTATGAATGTATTATATATATATATTATATGATCAAAAATTTCAATGTTAAACAAACAACAAATTGAATGAAAAAGTCAAATTATTATTATTATTATTCAAGGATTTTTACCATAAATCCTATGACTAGTAATGATTAGTTAGTTTTTGGAAATCCTGGATTTTTTTGCCTTTAAAGTCCGATCTTTATTATAATGAGACTCAAATAGAGAGAGAGAGAGAGAGAGATCAAAGAAACTGAATATTGAAAAGAGATTTTTTTAATTTTATTTTATTCATTGTTGTCATGGATTTTGTTTAGCCTATAAAATAATTAGTGTTATAATAATGATAATAATTTTTATATATATTTTTAGTTAATAATAATAATTATTATTATTATGCTCTAAAATTATATAATAAATGATTTATTTTGTGATTTTTTGAATTATTAACTTTTTTTATATATATATTTGTATTGTTAGTATTAATAGTAATATCTTATTAGTATTTAGTTTTAATACAATTTTTTTGTATTGAGTTTCCAATTGATTATACAATTTTGTATATCAAATATAATCCCTCTTAAATTATAATATTTTTTTTGATAATATGCTAATAAAGTATATGTAACTTTTTTTGCTACTGATATTTGATATTATATAGTATACTGTATACAAAAAATGCATGAAATTATATTAAAATATAAGTTTTAAAAAGATTAAGAAAAAAAAGATTTAAAATTTTATTTTATTATTATTTATTTTATCTAATTTAAACACTTAATCTTTTTTTTATAAAAATCTAATAATTTTACCACAATTTTTGTTGTTGTATATATTTGTAGAAAAATTTTATTTTAGTTTTATTAATAAAAATTAATTTCTTAATTATATATTCTAAATTTTGTGATAATAGTTTAAAAAATAAAAATTAACATTATTAAATAAATTATCTAGTTTAATTACTATAATAATTAGCTTAGATAACAATACACAAACACACATTAATATCTAAATATGTTTTGTATAACTTAATAATATAATAATTAAATAATAATACTAAATTGAGCTTAAAATTAATAATTAAATTAAATTTTAAACATTAAAATTACTTTATATAGAATTTAGAAATTTATCTTTATTATATTAGTTAATAATTTTTTATTAAAAGACTAGATATTCTACAATTTAATTTAAATTTTTTAAATAATAAATATTAATTTAATACACAAAATATATTTAAGGGATAACTGTTTAGTTAATTTTTGTTTATAAAATAACTTTTTAAAAAAAAAAATATATTATAGTTTTAATGGTTTTTATCGTAAATATTAAACACTAAAATATCAACAAAATATAGAAATAACTTTTTTATGTAAAATATATAGCATTTTATTTAAACTATTTTTATTCAAAATATATTTGTATAAATTATTTTATTTATTTTTTTCAAAAAATAGTCATTTAGATAATAATAATAAAATTGATGACACATTTGACAACACGTTACAGAAATAATAGTTTAATAAATTATTTAGTTTTATTATTTTTTTTTTGAAAAAACAATATGTATTTACTGTATATATTATACTGCATACTGTATATAAATGTCACATAAAATAATTTAAAAAAATTTAAACTTTAAATTATAAATTTTTATCGTCATATTTAATAAATTGTTTTCAATATACGATATACTGTATGTTACTATAAATATTTATATTTTTTTGAAATTATTTATAATTTACAATAATAATAATAATGTTAGTCCACAACAATGTTATTGACATTAATATATATATATATATATACAGTACATATATACTGTATATCTATCTATATGTGTGATAAATATTAGATTATAGCACATAATCCCTGTTTTTTTAGTTTTATTATTATTATTTATTTTAATGTATATAAAAAATTTATATATAAAGTAAACTAAATAATAAACTAAAAAGTTTGTATTTTTTTACTTTAAAAATTTATTTTTATTTATTTTTATTTATTATTAATTCTTTAGATAAATATAACGACAAAAAGATAATATAATATTTATATGTATAAGGCTTTAGCAAAAAAAAAATAATAAAATAAAAAAGATCTTCAAAATTAAATCTTTTTATTATCAAATGTGTGATAAAAAATTTTTTAAAGATAAAATAAATAACATTTGTATTTATATTTTACATTATTATTATTAATATTATTGCTATTTAAATATTTTTCAATTTATTTAAACATTCAAACTATTATATAATATATATGTTATGTTTTTAATGTTTATATTTAAATAAAAACAAATTGGTCAAATAATTTAACTTATATTTAAAATATAGATATTTTTATATAAAAAAAATATTATTTTTCTAATGTTTACTTTTACTTAAACTATTATATTTTAATTTGAGAAAACATTTACCGATTTTTTGGACAGTATATTGATATTTGACTTAAAAATTTATTATTGTTTTTTGGATTAAGTATTTATTTTCATGTGACTTGAATTTATAATTTAATTTTATTGTTGTTGTTGTTGTTATTGTGTTAATAAATAGATATTTACACAAAAATATTATATTAATGTATTGTTTTATATATATCTATAAATGCTAAAATATTATTATATCAATATATTAATTTAAACTATTAATATATTTAATCAAATTAATCATTTTTGTTTTAAAAAAATGCAATTAATATTTTAATTTTATTAGAAATAGATTGTAAATATTAAATCTTGTAAATACAATAATATTTATTATATTTTTACATAATTGTCAATTTATATATTAGTTTAGGTTATTAAATCAAATAACAACAAAAAATACAATTATTTTTATTGACGTTTCTGTAAATCAAATATATATATATATACAGTATATATATGTATATAATAGGAATATTCAATAATAAATTCAAATATATAAAATATTTATTAAATTCCGATTCAATACTCAATTTTAGTAACTTTTTTTAAACAAAATAAAAATAAAATAAACTTATTTAATCAAAAATATTAAATATAAACCTAAGTTATATATATATATGTATAGACATTTAAGTAATATTTAGAGAGAGAGAGAGAGAGAGAGAGAGAGAGAGAGAGAGAGAGAGAGAGATCAAAACCATATGCTTTTTCATGATATTTCATTTGATATAATGGTATTAAATTATATTATATAAAATACATAACAATTTTGTTATGGGCCTAAAAGCTCATATATATATATATATATATATATATATATAATTTTTTTATATTGAATATGCTTGAATTGTCATGTTAAGTGATCTGTATCGCACCATTATATACATATATATTTTATATATATTATAAAGTATATATTATATGTATATATATAGAGTATATACTTTTTGTGATAAGTGTAACTATGATAATAATAAAAAGTGAAACCAACAAATATATATATATATTTTAGTTTTATTTTATTTTTTGTGGATATATTGTATAACGTTTTGCTACTGTATTATGACTATTGGTATTTTTGTGAAGTAATATTATATTAAAAAACTTATATTTTTTGTCTATTCAGATATATTTTTTTGTATTTGTATAAAAATATGTGTATTATTATATTATACTCTATATATATATGATATATCAAATATCTTTTTTTGTTGTAGTAGTAGTAATAATATAGTAGCAAAATATTTCATACAATATACTACTACTACTACTACATACTAGTAGTAGTAGTGGTAGTAGTATTAGTCAATGAATTAAATGATAAAAAGTTAGTACTTTATATCAAATTTTGATTTTATTTTTTTTTTGGGTAAAATCAAATAATAAAAATTTACCGACAAAAAAATATAAACGTGTATAGACTGTAGTAGTATTGTATTCTGTATTGTATTGTATGATATTATGTAGTATAATGCACTGGTATGTCGAAATGATTGCCAGATTTATTTAGTTTTTTTGGCTATATATCCCACCCACCCCTTTACCACCCCCTCCTTAAATCATGATTGATTGAATTGACATTTTATAAACTATTCAATATTATATTATAGTCTACTATATATATATATATATATATAAATTCAAGTATATTATTTGACAAAAGTATATTTTTTTGTTTGAAAAAAATAAATAAAATACTAAAAGTTTTTCAAAATAAAAAAATCAATTTTTCTATAAGTATTTATTAGTTAATAATAATCATCAAAAAAATACTGTACTGAATATAACATGTGTAAAAATTTTTATTTATTTATTTGAATTTGAAATTATATTAAATAATTAATTTTCAATAATATTCAACAAAATGTATGTAAAATATACATAATATTCTTCAAAAAGATTTTTTTTAAATAATAAAAATACTAAATTTTTAATATTAACATAATTTTTTTTATACACACCCAAACACATCATTACACTCATACAAAAATAGCATATTTTAATGATAAGTAAATTAGTAAATAATAATAATAATAATAATTAAATTTAATACATACCATAGCAATGGCGCACAGATTTAATATCTATATATATAAACGTAAGAGTAATTTATAGGAAAAATTAGAAATTAATGTTTAAATATTTTTTTAAATATGTTTTTTTATTGTTGAAAAAACATATATATATATTCATATAAATAGTAAATTACTATATATATTATAGTGTTGTTAATTAATATAACATAATAATAATAATCATATTTAGTGGAAATATATATTACTTACACTTGCAGTGCAACATAATCTGTAAAAATAAAAAAAAATTATTTTTAGTATATATATATATAAATGAAATCATTAGTATAATTTATATATAATATATTTAAATATATATAATTTATATATAATATATTTAAATATATATATATAAATATATGTCATAAAATTATATCTCAAATTGTAATGATAGCGTTAATTTGTGTATTATCTTATCGTACATAACATACATTGTATACCCGTATAAAACTATACCGTATATACAGTATTTGTTGCCAAAAAAAATTATATCTAACTTTATGGTAAATTTAATTATGCCTTTTAGTAATTGTTTTGCTGTTATTGTTGTCTATGTTGTTATTGTTGTATCGCATAATCTGTTATTGTTATATCATGTCTATTGTATTGTACTGTTATAAATGTTAAACTTAATCTAATACACTATACTATACTATACTACTGTATATTAGTTAGCTTTTATAAGTTAGACACTTACACTTACACACACACTCACATACACTCACAATAACCAATATCATAATGTTATACATATGAGAGATAAATTATTACTTAAAAAAAATATTGTGTAAAATACAATAAATTTATCATGCACAAAATAAATAATAATAAAATTATAGTAAATGATATAATAACATTATATATATATAGATGTTTTATAAATAACTTTTTAAAAAAATAACAAAACAAATATTTTCATTGATAATTATTTTAAATTATAATATATGTAATAATAATAAGTTAGTTTTTAGTGTATCTTAAGCACTGGTATCTTATTTATATGACTTACACATCACTTGTCAGCCACATTTCGCATATGTGTAGTCCGAAAATCCATTTACCTAACAGATTGTAGGCCACATTGAAAGGCATGACCAGTACGGCTACGGCAATATCGGAAACGGCTAGCGATACCAGAAACATATTTTGTACATTGTGTAGGGGCCGGTAGGTAAATATGGCCCAAATAACCAATATGTTGCCGACAATCGTAAACAACATTATCGTAGCCAATATCAGTGCAATTATAATGCCCTTATCGATGATAATATAATCGGTTGTTGTTAGTTGTGTATCCATTGTATTGTCGGCCACTGTGTTGTCGGCCATTGTGTTGTCGGATCAAATCAATTGGTTCACACAAAATAAAATCAATTTAATTGTTTGTTTGTTTTTTGATAGTTAACACACAAACACACAGAATATTGATATTTATTTTATGAATGTATTGTTTGTTTTTTTCTCGTTATATATATATCTAATTATTTTCCAATTGTAATGATGTCTCTTTCACTGAGGGTATCGGTGCTCTAATAAGTGATGTATTGTTTTATTTTGTTTTTTTGGTGACAATTTTGTTGTTGGTATTGTTGTTGAATATAACAACAATAAAAAAGATAAAAACAACAAAAAACAACAACAAAACTGTTATAACAATTGAATGTAAAAAAATCTATACAGAAAACTTATGGTCCATTTGATTATTAGCACTGATATCTGTATTAGTAGTAGTAGTAGTAGTAGTAGTAGTAGTAGTATTGGTGTTTGAATTGGTGATTGAAATCATCACTTTTTTGATGATAATAATAATAATAATAAATACATAGTAATGTCAATCATCACTAAAATACATACTAACTATCTTTGAATAAAAAGTTTTTTTTTGTTGGTTACAAACTAGTAGTTACTCAATATATATATATATATATATATATATATATTATTGTTGGTATATATATTAGGTCAGTGCTTATAATAATAATAATAGCAATGATGGCACTGATGATAATGATAATAGTGATGAAAAATAAGTAGTAGAGGACAACAACAGTAGGACATCGACAGCAGTATTACACGTCTAACCAAATGATTAATTATTAGCCAATCAATTGTCGGTATTGTCGTTGTCATTGTCGGTGTCAATGATGTTAGTGTTGTTGTTGTTGTTATTGATGTCAATGTCAGACATTTGGCGCTGATTTTTGCCATCATATCGACAAAGAAGAAGAAGTTAATAATATCTGAAATAAAACAATAGATAGAGAAAAAAAAATTATTAATAAAATTATAAATCAATTGGTTTTTTGCTGTTTTTGTTTGTTAACTAAAAAAATTAACAATCAATTTGTTAATACTTTATACTATACTATAATAATAATAATAATGGATTATAATATGTATAATACATAATATAATATAATAATAAACAAGAAAATATTTGTTGTTTAAAATGTTTATAGTGTTTCATTGGATAGTTATATACCATTAATATAATAAGTATAATATTATATAATAAATATAATATACTGTATGATAATAACATTAACAGTTAATTTTATGATACGTGAAAACTATTATTAAATATATAATCAAATTATACCCAAACCGATAAACAATATAATATTATATACTGTATATATATATATATATACAATATACTATCGTATCGTAATAATTGTTTTAAATAATTTTTATTGAATATATTCTGTAATTTCTCTCTCAAAAGTACAATAGATATATAAAATCATTGCTAAAATAATTTTTACAATTTTATATAACTGTTTGTTAACCAATTTTACTACTACTTTACGATACTATATATATATACTGTATATATAAAAAAAATCCAATACTAATATTATACTAAATATTACTGATAATACAAAAAATATATGATATTTTTTTGCTCCCCTAACACAATCGATATGTGAAACAATTTTTTTTTTAACTAAAACTATTTTTTTATTAGTATTATTATTAGTATTTGTATTATATTTTTTTCAACACTCACTGTAAACCTAACAACAAAAACTTAACGACACATAAAAATATTATTTTCAAAAAAAACATATATATATATAATGTATATCAATACTATAATTTCAAAGTATCGGGATATTAACACAACATTTATATATATACTATATTTGATATAAAATATTTTTTTATGGCCAAAAAAATATTATAAGAGTTAAATAATGAAATATATAATAATAATAAAAAACAAATTTTGCTTTTATTTCTTGTAAAACGAGTCATAAATCATCAGTCGATTATAGTCTATAATATACAGTATATATATATCAGTATAATATATATGATATATTTAATATAAAATTTTTCTGATAAAATTTTTTTTATTAATAAAAATTTTTTAAAGCACAAAAAATACAACAAACAAACTTTGATAATAAAAAAAATAAATAAAAGTTAACTTTTTTACAAACAAAAAATTATATTATAATATTATAAACTTTCTCAATATTATTCGATGCAATACTTTAAATATATATATATAATTTTTTGTGACATATATTAAATTATTTATAAATTAGATTATTTTATCAATTAATAATATACATTAATATTTTTAAGATAACGTTTATATATATATAATATGTTATGTATATGCTAAAAAATTTTAATATGTTATCTACTTTATGTATTATTATGATATTAGTATGCTATATAAATATAGTACATATTTTTTTATTAATCAAATTATTAGGCGCATTAATCATTTTATTTTTTAAATATTTTATATACAAAATAATATATATATATAATTATAATAATACTACTAAATATTGTATAGTATTTCAATAATAATAGAATTAAATACAACTAAAAATTATTTTATGGTTTTTTTTGTTTGTTTGTTTGATTTATATAAAATAGTATTTAATTTATTATTTTTTTGTTGTTGAATTACACACAAAAAAACTAGTTATCTATTATATATATACCGTACTGTTTAAGTACTGATATATATATATATATATATATATATATATATATATATATATATATATATATATTCTGTATATTATAGTCAAAAATTATTGTATTATATTTTTGTATGTTTTGTTTTGTTTTTCTATTCAACAAAAAAAAAATTCTCAATATTTCATTTAATACGACAGTAAAATAACATAACTTTTATCTAACATTGAAAAAAAATTTGTTCAGCACAATAATGCATTATCTGTAATATATATATATATATATATATAAACCAAATAATACTAGAAAAATTAATACAATAATAATACACATTAAAAGTTTTTATCATTTTTTTCTAAACGCTATTTTACAGATTAAATACACATTTTCTATGGAAAAAAATATATGTACTGTATTTGTATGATAATGTAAGTTATATATATATATACAATGTATTGAATCAAATAAAATACAATATTTTTTTTATTTTGAATTTAAAAGAAAAAAACATTTGACTACAATGTGTGTGTGTTTTTTTTGTATTATCTATTAATAATTTATATAATTTATCATTGAATGAGTTATATTTTTATATATATGATTTTAAATTTAAAACAGATATTGTATTAGCATTTTAATAATAGTATTTATTTTTGAATAAATATATGCAAAATTAAAATATAATTAATTTAGTTAAAATAACACTATTATAAAACAAATTATTTTATGACTATTTTAAATATTTAGTATCAATACTAATACTAATTATTATTTAAATACTAAATTTATTCAATATATACTAGTAATATTAAATTATAGTGATAATTATATTCATATCTAATATCTATTGTACAGTGCTTATTAATTTTTTCAATTTAACTTATTTTAAATACATTATTAGATCAATAATAAACTAAACTATCAAAAAAAATCATCTATTTGTAAATAATCTTAAAATCATTAGATATTGATTTGTGAAAAATATAGATTTAACAAAAATAACTATTAATATGTCTATATTTTTATACCATATGTTGTTATCATATATATCATAGATGAATAATAATAAAATTTTGATTAAATTTTTAAGTCAAGCAAAAATATTTTTGTTGTTGTTGTATAGTTAAAAAAAATATCATGAAATTTTATTTTTTTACTATTATATTTAAAAAAAATTTTGTTGTTAGTGTTGGGACCAACTCCCTGTAGATTTTTTTTGTAAAAATGTGAAAAAATTATATATCTATTTTATAATAGAGGAGATATTTATAGTAGAAAAAATTTAGTGATAAAATAAAATTTGCAAAAAAATTGATATATAATACAGTATATCTCAAAATATTTGGTTAGATATATATATATATAGATATATCCATTACTTTTTAAAATTTATTTATAATATATTATTATTATTATATTCAATATAATAGTATCATTGAAGTTGAAATATCAATAAATATATATATGATATTATCGATGTTTTCAATATATATATATATTTGGCATATATAAATCAATTATATTATATATAGTATTGTACTATAATATGTTATTATATAAAAAAAAATTTCAGTGATTTTTATAGATTAAAGATTGTATTATTTATTTTATTTAAGTTTAGTTAGTTTTTTCATATCCATCACAGATATGCAATAATTTTTTTTTATAAGTGAGACGATTTGCGTTATAAGCCTTAATAATTTGTCACAAAAAAACTAAATAAAAAGACTAAAATACATCTGTAAATGAAATAAAATTACATATTTTGTGTTTCAATACATAAATAGCATTTTTGATCCTTTATTTATATGTGTAGTCTTTTGTATCTTTTTTTTTGGTATTGATTATTGGTTTATATATATATATAAATTTATATATAGATATATACAGTATATATATCTGGGACACACATTTGGGACTTAATGTCATAGAAAATATGTCTATTTGTTGGAAAATTTATATATATATTAATATATAGTATATTTAGAAATATATATTATATTTTATATATAAATGTTTGATATATTGTGTTTGCAAATTACTAACACATTTATTAATACATAGAGATATATAGTAGTATATCATACATAAACAAATAGTAAATGTTTTATTTTTAAATTCAATTTTATTAACAATTATTATTATTATTATTTATTAATTTTATTTTTAAAAAATGTTTTACATATTTTAAAAAAATAAAATATATATTTATTGGTTTCTATTACATAAGTAATATAGATATTTATAAATATTATATTTTGTTTGTTTTGTTTTATTGAATTGTCAAACAATATTTAAATAACTTATTT